AAAGGTAGGGTGCCACAGAGTCCTCATGGAGAGGCCAGCAGTGCTGTGTCAGTGTCCGACAGGCTCTTTAGCTTGGTCTAGGGCAGTGGTCGGCAAACTGCGGCTCGCGAGCCACATGCGGCTCTTTGGCCCCTTGAGTGTGGCTCTTCCACAAAATACCATGTGCGGGCACGCACGTACAGTGCGATTGAAACTTCGTGGCCCATGCATAGAAGTCAGTATTTTGTGAAAGAGCCACACTCAAGGGGCCAAAGAGCCGCATGTGGCTCGCGAGCCGCAGTTTGCCGACCATGGGTCTAGGGGAGTGAGGAAGACCTTCCCAAGAAAGCAAATGTAAGGCTGAGATTTGAAGGATGCCTGGAGATAGTGCTGTTTGGGGTGGAGGCAGTAGAATGCAAAGATAAAAATGAAAGTCATAGAAAACGATCACCCAGACCTGCTCCTTAGTTACAAGTGAGAACAGTGAGGCCTGGAAAATCTCCCAGTTGTACCCACATTTAGTGGAAAATCAGGAACCCAGGCCTCCTGACTGCCCGGTCTTTATTTTACCAGGCATTAGGTCATCAAATGGCTACATCTCAGTCAAGCCCACCTTGGAGAGTCTACTCATGAAGTTACTTGTTTTTCCCCTCCAGGTGTCTGATTCCATTCTCCACTAGGAGAAGCTCCACATTCTCTTCCATCCCTGGATCCCATATCTCGAATGTCTGTGAAAGTGGAGATCTGCTCTAGGATTGACTGGTGAGTAATCCAAACAGATGTATCTGCTTAGGGCTGGCTGCGTGGTCTGTACACCCATGTGGCCAACAAGGCATCTCTAAGCAATGGGCCATGCCGTGGCACCAACCCCAACATCCATGCTGCATACAACATGTCAGGAGACACAACCACACAGAAAGTTTCATTAGATGCTGTTTTGTTGCCAAAAGGTTCAAGTGGTCATGAGTTAATCATTATGCTTCTAGAACATTCAGCCTTTGAATCCTGCCTTAATCAGAAATTCATTTTGTGAAGGGTGTTGGCTCTCCTTCTGGCCATAATTCCCAGCTGAGCATGGGCTGTCCCCAGCCAGACAGAAGTAAGCCATGATCCCCAGACCTGGCCATTGCACACTGCTTTCCTTTATAGCCTTCAAAGCATTCTCAAATTTGTCACCTCATGGAATTCTCCCAAAACTCTATCAGGGGGCCAGATAGAAAAGTCCTGATTTAGTGGATGAAGAAATAGAGACTCAGTGGAGTTAAGAAGCTTACTCAAATCCTCCAAGTAGGGGCTGATCCAGGACAGAAGGCTAGGTCCTAGGCCTTCAAGTACAGAACTTGCATGGAGAAATAGAGAGCAAACAGCCTCTGGCTTGGCATCAGACCACACCCTTAGGGTCTCCTGTGCCCTGGCACATGTCTTGCCAGACCCAACCAGTCTAGGTGTTGTACCTTCTTGAGCCATTCTCTTTGATTTGACTTACCTCTACATGAACTGGTGCTTGACTACACACACCCATGTGTGTGCCAGGGTGCTTTGTTAGTGGGAAGCAGAGATTACAGGCTGTTATCAAATATCACAGATACCCTGCAACTTCTATTCTACTGTAAGCCATCTCTGGAATCCTGAGCCATGCCTTATTTAACCAAATCAACGCACACATAGTGCCCAGCTGTTAGACATGGAGGAAGGACCACTGGAACTCCAAGGGAGAGGAGGACTGGCTTAGAATATCTGACAACGGGATGGATGGTGATTAGACTCCCTTCGTGTTGTTGAGAGCAGAATGAGGGCAAACTGCTGAGTGTCAGGAAGCAAATTTTAATCCACAGCAAGGAAGAACTTTCTACCCTTTGGAGCTGTTCAGAAGGAGAAAATTTTGTCGTAAGCGATCGTTTGTCTGTCATGGGAGTTGCCAGTCTCACTGCTGAATGAAGAGCAAGAACTGACAGAAGAGGCTTTTTCAGTCAAGCTAAAGCCCCTCAATTTTTCTTTATTAGGCCCAACCGTTGGTCCTAATTTTAGATTGTGGAGCGGCATCAAATAAAGCTAATCACTCTAGCACATTTTACAAGAGGGGCTTATAAATGAGTTTCTAATTGGTGGAATTTCAGGCATGGTTATAAAGTGAAAAAGAATTTCAGGCCAGTGTAGAGATATTTTGGGACTGTGTGGTGTTTTCAGAGCCCTTAACTCATGCTGCAAAGCTGACCGGCTATCGTCGGTTGAGTGAATGTATGAGAAATTCATTTAACTTTCAGTTACTAAGGATCCTTTTGGTGGGAATACAGTGGAATCAGTAGGGCTTTAGAAGTTTCCTTTGAGTCTTTGGTAAATGCCCCTTGCCCTTTAGACTCAGATTATGAAGATGAGGCCTCTAATTTAGGAAATGGCTATGCTGGATGAGGGCGAGGGCAAGAGGGGACCACAAATGATTCCTGCATCTTGTCCACTTGCTGAGGGATCTTTGTGGAAAGAATGCAAAGTGTTAGCTTAAGCTGTGCTGATTGCACCCACAAGCTGGACTTGAGAAGAGTTCCACCAGCTCATTAAGACCGTGGTACCAGACACAGTGCGTCCTCACTGGCTGCTTCCTGTGGGGTCGCTGTTAGCTGGGTGCAGCACCCTTGAGGCATTTGAGCTTCCCACTGGAAGTCACAGCACAGACAAGTGCCACTGCCTGCATAGTGTGTCTTTGGGGTCTCTAGCTCCCCTTTCTCTATCACTTTCCTCCTTCCTACCTTCTTGTGTGCACCATTTGGGCCACATTGAGATATTTTGGGACAGTGTGGTGGGATTGTGGAAGCAATAAGGTAGTACTTTAGTTCCCACTGTGATAGTGTCGCACTCTGTGCATCCTGTATGCCTAGCCCAAGCAGGGTGGTACAATCCATTTCCTGGATACTTCTTGCTTTCCTTGTCTTCTTCCCAACCAGTGTACTAATCCAACCAATATTAATCTTTCTTTTATATGGTAACAAGAAAATACAGCCTGGCCTTCTATGGATGCACTTATGCACTCATTCATCCATCAATCCACCCACCCACCCACCCACCCACCTATCTTTCCTTCCTTCCACCCATGCATGCATGCCTTTATATGACAAGTACTTACATTACTTACGTTACATTACTGTATATTACAAGAACTTTGCCATAGAGGCAGACACTGTGCTAGGAACAGACTCACGGTAAAATGAGGTCCTTGCATGACCAGCTGATAGATATGCCTGCAAATACACATGTTCCACATGAGGTCATTGCTGCAATGGAGGTTTGCACAAAGGACAGTAGGACCCAGAAGAGGCCTGGTTGCTTGGAGGGAGTCAAGGAACGTGAGAAAGGAACCTTGGTAATTGAGTCAGCACATTTTAGCCAGACAAGTGGTCAGGGACAGCTCTGTGCAGGCAAGCCCAGAGGTCAGACAGCACGCTATGATTAAAGAGAGGTTCCAAAAGGGCAGGGTCTGTATCTGCTTTTGCTCCTCACTGTACATCTGCTCATGGTAGGCTCTTGCTCTTTCCGCAATACACAGCTCTGCATATAGCATTAAGTTTATGCACCTGAATTAAATTTTTACTTTCTATCAAACTAGTACATGTACATCCTTACAAAATTCAAATTTATGAGAAGACTTCATAACACCTAGCATTTCGTTGGCCTCCCCATTCCTTAATCCTGAGTCTTACTCCCTAGAAACACTATTTTCAACATTTTAAGCTCTTATTGCTGGCATTTACCTTCATATTTCTAAATAATGTTATTATATTGCTCTATCTTCAGGACATTATTTTTTAACTTCCATCTATAGAATGGTAGGCTTTTTCTCTTTGGCTGACACAGTGTCTTCTTTTTCTTCCATTCTCCCAATACAGTTATATTGCAATTTTCTATTAAGTGAATTTTTAGGATTTTCATATTTATATCTATGAAGATATTCACAAAGGAATGAAAATATGATTATTTCCTTTATTTTCCCCGAGTTTTACTGACACGCAGCTCTGCATAAGTTTAAGATGCACAGTGTAACGACTTGACTTACATAGACAGTAATCCCTCTCTATCTGCAGGGGATAGATTCCAAGACCCCCCGGGGATGCCCGAAACCATGCATAGTACTAAATCTGGATATATTATGTTTTGAATGCACATCTATGATAAATTTTAACTTATCAATTAGGCACAGTAAGATATCAACAACAACTAATAATAAAATGAAACAATTATAACAATACACTGTGAAAGAAGTTATGTGAATATGGCCTCCCAAAATATCTTCTTGCACTGTAATAAGATACTTACTTTCATTTAAAGGAAGCACATTATGGCTTCTTTTTGACATATTTGAATTGCCAGCGTCATTACTCTTGTGCTTTGAGGGCATTTTTAAGTAAAATAAGGGTGGCTTGAAAACAAGCACTGGGATAGTGCAACAGTGGGTCTGATAACCGAGTTGGCTACTAAATGACTAATGGGCTGGTAGTGGATATGCTGGACAAAGGGATGATTCATGTCCTGAGTGGGAAGGAGCAGGACAATGAGAAATTTCACCATTCTATGCAAAAGAGTGTGCAGTTTAAAATGTATGAATAGCTCTAGCTGGTTTGGCTCAGTGGCTAGAGCATCACCCTGTGAACTCAAGGGTCCTGGGTTCAATTCTGATCAAGGGCACATGCCTGGGTTGTGGGCTTGACCCCCAGTAAGGGGTGTGCAGAAGGCAGGTGATCAATGATTCTCTCTCATCCTTAATGTTTCAATCTATCTCTCCTTCTTCCTTCCTCTCTGAAATCAATACAAACATATTAAACAAAAAGAATGCTTTAAAAATAAGTAAAATGTATAAATAGTTTATTTCTGGAATTTTCCATTTAATATTCATGTACCGGTATTGACCACCGGTAACTGAAAGCATGGAAAGTGAAACTGTGGATAAGGGGGACTACTGTATTGTGAAATTTTTATCGTAATAAATTTATCATCCCTCATCTCATATGGATTGAAACGTTTTATTCCTTGTAAAAATAATGGGACATTTCACGAATTTGCTTGGTATTCTTGCACAGGGACCATGCCAATCTTCACTGTATTGTTCCAATTTTAGCATATGTGCGGCCAAAGTGAGCACTTATTTCCTTTCTTAAACAACTTTTTGTTTTCCCAAGAATTTAAAATTGTAGAATTTAATAGGTTTCCTGGTTTTCTATGTACCTACCATTGATTCTTTTCCAGACTTCCCAGTGGAGCTACCAAGACCCCCTAGACATAGTCAATCAAGCCCCGTGGGTGGTTGAACAGTGTTGATTTTTCCTTGAAACCATCCCTCTGGGGTCCCCAATCCCTAGCTCTATGTGGTTTAGACTGGCTCCCTTTAAGTATGCTGTACCTCTCATGCCTCAGTTTCCCCTGCACTGCTCTCCTCTGATGATCTTCTTCCTGGATCGCATATATTTTTTGTTTTACTCTCTTGCTTTGGTGAAATCTTCTTAGAAGCTCTCATGAAAACACATGTGGGGTAAAATTTTAGAGCGCTTGCATATCTGAATATGTCTTTATACTCTCTTCATATTTGCTTACCATTTGGCTGGATATAGATTTCTAGGATGGAAATACATTGTACCACTGCAGCAATTTTCAACCTTTTTTATTTCATGTCACACATAAACTAACACAGAAATTCTGTGGCACACCAAAAATTATATTTTTCTGATCTGATAGAAAAGATAGGCATAATTTTGATTCTTTCACACTAGACGGCTATTATTGTGTTGGCTGTCATCGTTTAAAAAATATATTTTTATTGATTTTAGAGAGGAAGGGAGAGGTAGAGAGAGATAGAAATGTCAATGATGAGAGAGAATCATTGATTGGATGCTTTCTGTATGCCCCACACTGAGGATCAAGTACACAACCCGGGCATGTGCCCTGACTGGGAGTGAAACCATGACCTCCTGGCTCATAGGCCAATGCTCAACCACTGAACAACACTGGCTGGACTGTTGTCATTTTTTTATTTGACAATCCAGGGGAAAAGAGGTCAGTGCCCATGACTAAAGAGACAGTTTATTGCATGTTTTAAAAATTGGCGCACCAGTTGAAAATCGCTGCGCCACTGTATTCTAGGTCTAGTGTTGCTATTGAGAGGTCTGATGCTTTCCTGATTTCTAACCTTGTCCAGTGATCTCTTTTTCACCCTTTTCTGAAAGTATTTATCCCTACTCTTCATCCTGGAGCACTTGGAAATTTTACAATAATGTATCTAGATGTGCATCTTTTTTCATATGTTATATTTGACCTTTTGATGAATCCTTCACATCTGGAATTTCATGTTCTTTAGTTATGGAAATCTTGGGATTTATCCTTTAGAATTGCCTCCCTTATTTTCTCTGAACTCTGGCATTGAAATTTCTATTAAGAGACTATTGGACCTCCTTGATGGATGCTTTCATTTTTCCATTTTTCTTTCCTTTTTTTTCATCTTATTGTCCTTTTTCTACTTCCTAAGAGGTTTTTTATATTAATCTTTTAGAAGTCTATTTGATTCTTTAAGGTTATTTCATATTTAATACCCATGCACTCTTTTTAGTTTTCTGACTGTTCTTTTAGAATAGCTTTCTGTTCTTGTACCTATCTTATTTTTTTCTGAAGATGTTAATAATTTTTTAAAAATAATTATTTTGCTTCCTGTTTTACCTTTGTTTTCTCTAAGTCCCTTATTTACGGTTTTTGTTTTTTGGTTAGAGTTTTTCTTAAATGTCTGAGATCCTTAGCTATCTGTTCATACTTCAGAGTGAGGAACCATGTTGTGCCTGGGATTCTGTGGTTATGGGTGGTCCTTCTTACTGAGGGGCTGCAGTGTAAAGCGCTGAGGTCCTGGATATTTGCTTAGCTATCTCACCAATGCCAGACTCTATGGAGACAAACTCTCTAGCTTTTGGTCTCGTTGCCAGTCTTCTGGGAGTCCAGTAGGTGAAGACGGGGAGAGGCCTCACATTCAGTCTTTAGACGTCACCTCAGATGGGTGCTAGTTCTGAAGGAGGCAGGTCTGAGGCCTATCCTATAGACCAGGGGTCCTCAAACTACGGCCCTCGGGCCACATGCAAATACAAATATTGTATTTGTTCCCGTTTTGTTTTTTTACTTCAAAATAAGATATGTGCAGTGTGCATAGGAATTTGTTCATAGTTTTTTTTAAAACTATAGTCTGGCCCTCCAACGGTCTGAGGGACAGTGAACTGGCCCCCTGTTTAAAAAGTTTGAGGACCCCTGCATAGACCACCCATGTGTAGGAGAGAGGAGGAAGGTAAAGTTAACGAAGGGGAGAGAGGGCAAAGTGGTGGTCAGAATGTCAGGACGAGAATTAAGGAAGCGGGAGAGGATCAGCAGCATTGATTGTAGTCTCATCAGTTGGCTTTAGGCAACCACTGAGGATCTTCATGTTATAGTGGAGGTGGAACCCTGCTTTTGGGAAAAGGGAAGCCAAATGGCCCTGCAGGGACTGAAGTCCCCTTCTCATTCAATCTATGTCCCTTCTATGGGCCTGCTACCCTCAGTTCTGTTTCCTCCAGAGTTCTGAGCATATCCTGGGGAGATAGGGAATGCAGGCACATCAGTCATCAGAAGTGATTGACAGAAGACAAGAGGAATTCTTAAATCTATGAAGGTAAAACAAACACTTTATTTAAGGAAAAGGAAACTTGGGAAAAAAAGCCTAATAAATAACTCAGTACAGCTGGCTTAAGCACTTTAAAGCCAGTGTCTGTGATAAGCAATGGAAACATTAATATGAAATGCTTCACCATAAATGAGTACAATTCAGGCTGATGTATTGCAGCTGAGCTGGCTGTCGGACGGCCTGCTTTTAAAGTGATATTTACAATCAGTAGTTTTTTCCTTTGGTAACTAGAAGAAGGCAGAAATGGCTAGTAGCCCACCTAGGGGGCGGCTCTGAGCCTCTGGAAGCTGGGCGCCCTGCCAGGCAACTGCCTTTCCACTACGGCCCCATCCCCAGGCAGCTTGAGACAGGGCAGGAGGGACCCCAGAGCAGGGTGGTGAGGGCCATGAGTGAGTAGAGAGCTCAGGGCCTAAGTCCAGTTAGTGGCCAGCTGGGATGTCTGGAGACAGTGGGTTGTATTTCTGGGCTCTTTGTCTCCCAGCTAGTCCTGGAGGTCTCAGAGGGTATCTCCAGGTGCTCTGAGACCATTGTCCTCATGCCCCTGCTGAGCTGCCTCCTTCTCTGACCCAGAGTCTGTCGATGATACCCATCGAGCTGCTCAACCCCGAGTCCATTCAAAACAAGCATTTTAACTTACATTTTAACTTACATTTTAAACAAGTATTTTAACTTACATTTTAAAGTTTATAAAACAGAGGGAAAACTACCACCGGTCCTAGCACATCAACATGGTTATGGAAGAATCAGATAAAATGATCATATGAAAGAATGTAAAGCCTTCTTTTTCATGTAGGGGTAATCCGATAATCGTCATCCAAAGGACATCCTTCTTATTAAGCAATAATAATAATAAGAGCAGCTCACATTTGCTGTGTGCCAACTTCATGGCAGGCCCAAGCTGAGCCCTCCCTCCGGGGATGCTCCCTTGGCTTCCTGCTGGCCCTGGCTCCATGCCTGTGTGGACAACCTCCTCTTGGCCTTCGAAGGCACTGTCTTTCTCCCTCTCTCTCGGCTCCCCTCTGCTTCTCCCCTCTGCCAGCACTGCTTCTCTGTCCCAGGTTTCTGCAGTCTTGCTGGCTGATTGGGCAATGGGAGCTGTTTTGTTTTGCTTTGTTTCATTATCATTGTTGTCCCTGACATGGGTCACAAGACCCTTTACTGAAAGTGTTCAACTGTCAGTCACTACTGGGAAAATAAACAAACAAAAAAATAGATGACGAAAGGGTCAAAGGTGCAGGGTCCTCCTGGTGGTTGTTGCTAGCTAGTGGTTCCTAAGTTTTTTTTAAATGATGGCTCCATAGTTTCCCAGAGGGAGTGCAGTGGAGGGTTTGGCCTTGGCTGAAGCCACCAGCCATGATTTCTAGACCCAAATCAGCCCAACAACTTCTCTCCCTTCTAGAAACCTGCACACAAAGTCTCAGGAAATGCAGCAATTCATCCCTCCCCAATCGCACTGCACTTCTTTCCAGGCCCCAGTTACAAATGTGAACTGAACAGATGTATTATATGGAAATGCCTTAGAATGTCATTAGAAACAGCTTTTGCATTAATGGTCATAAATCCATACCTGCAGTCACGTTGGATTTCTGCCTAACTGTTTGATAACTTGAAAAATGTAAATTCTGTTCCAGTATGAATTTGGGGAAATGGATTGAAGGATGCCTTCCTTCACTATTCTGCTCTTCTCCCGCCCAGTCCATTTGCCCCACCCGCCCAGGCCTGCCCCACAACACCATTAGGATGGAGGGGAAGGAGGAAAGTGGAGAAGTCACATTTCCAATCAAATCTGACCTCAGATCTACTGTATGATCCTGAAGGATGTAGGTCCATTCAGCACCCCTTGTGGTAGGCTGCTTCTCAGATGGCTCTCCAAGGTTTCTGCCTCCTGGTGTTCACACCCTCTGTGTGGGCTGGATCCAGGGACTTGCTTCTAATGACTAGGATACCACAAAAGTGGTGGGGTGTCATTGTGGAGATTAGGTTATAAAAAGCTCTGATTTTTTTTATTCCTCATCTGAAGACATGCTTTTTTTAAAATTGATTTGAGAGGGAGAGGGAGGGAGGGAGGGAGGGGGGGGGAGAGAGAGAGAGAGAGAGAGAGAGAGAGAGAGAGAGAGAGAGAGAGACATCGATGTGAGAGAAACATTGATTGGTTGCTTCTGTCATGGGGATTGAACCTGCAACCTTTTGGCCTACAGAAATTATACTCCAACCAACTGAGCCCCCTGCCCAGGGTAGAAAGCTCTGATTTTTATGTTGCTGGCACTCTCTCTTCTTGGTTTGCTGGCTTTGATGAAACCAGGTGCCACGATGGAGAGACCAACATGGCCAGCACCTTGGGAAGCCTCTGGTTATCTGCCAGTGAGAAACTGAGACTGTCAGTCTGATGGCCTGTGAAGACACGAATCCTGCCAGCAACCGTCATGTGCGTTTGGAAGCAGATACTGCCTCAT